ATATAAATCTTTCGTAGAACGAATTGCTTTTCATTATTGAACTGATTGAGAGCCAGTTTGGTGTAGTGGTTAAGGCAACAGGCAAGGAACTGGGAGACCATGAGTTCTAATCCTGTCTTAGGCACAAGACAGAGTAGGTGTCTTTGGGCGAGTCTCAGCCATAGGAAGGGAAAAAAACTGCAGGAATTTGTCTAGGCAGTATCTGAGAACTGGAAACAATTGAATGGAAGAAAAAACAACAACACTGAACTGAATGACACAAAGATTCTAGAGGCATCACATGAGAAAGATACTGATCTTGCAAAGCCCTCCCTTTCGGTTCCTTTACAGATACTCCCCCCTCCCACTCCTTTTGGCTTCCTTTTGGAAGAAACCAATTTAGTTAACTATGTTTTACACTCTGCAGAATTCAGTAATCTAATTGAATTAGTTTTTCTCCTTGCGTTCTTTATTTTCTAAAAGCTTCATAAAATTACCTACTGTATGTACAACAGAATATAAAAACAAAAGGAAAGAAATATAATACTTTTATCCAGTGCAGCATAAAAAGGTATTAAACACATGCTAAACCACCACAACAAAATGAATACAACATATAATACAATCACAAAGCATGTTTAAGATAATGGTTAATATCTTGGAACTGGTATCAAGAAGGCTCTAGTTCAAGTTCATTGTATTCAAGTTCATAGTTAACTAAATTGGATAGTTTGGGGCCAGTTAAATATTGCTTAGCCCTACCTACCTCACAGGTTGTTTGCTATGAGGAATCTCTGGAAGAAGAAGGTTGTTTATACTGCTTTGAATTCTGGAGGAAAAGTGGAATATAAATCTAATGGAAAAATTAAAAAAATATGTACTGTAAAATTAGAACGTGTACAAAAACATTTCTGTAGCATAACTCATAAACTAAGCATTCAAATTCAAATAGTTTCCTCCAGAAAACAAAAGATGTATTCATTCATATATATACAGTGTGTGTGTGTGTGTGTGTGTGTGTGTGTGTCCACACACTGTATATTGTATATACTTTTACCATATCTTAATTCTGAAGATTGTTTTCTTTGTCTTTCCTGGAAGAATAATTATCCCCTAAGTTTTTGATTGTGTAGTTCAACAGCCAGAAATGAAATGTGCAACTTTAAAAAAAAAATAGTAACTAAATATTTGTTTCATATCATGTAAGTGCCCATGACGTTCTGTGGCAGATGTTACACTAAGTTCTACACTATCTATACATACAGTATAGTCAGGTGGAACTAAGTTCCCTCCCCTTTTTTTTGTTTGACTTTGGAATGTGTGCCTGGTGAAGCCTTGGAAGATACTGTGAAGTGTAGCCATTTAATGGTGTGGAGCTTGTAAGGCAAATGCTAATGTACTGTTGGCAATTTATGGGATGGGTCTGAAAGAGTGCCAAGAGAGTTTGAATGGGTGATGTTTTCTGTTGCTACTGCTGTTGCCATTCAAATGCCCCTGGGAGATCTCAGAGGGGATGCAGTGGGGATAATTTGATGCTTCAGTTTTTAATGAGCAATTGAGATATATTCAGGAAATTGAGGATGAAGCTGAGTTCTTTGCTTAGATGGCCAATCTTGTTAGCCTGAGATTTTCCTCACTCTCCTTTTACTGTATACTCCACTAAATTAAAGAGGGGTCAACTTGATTTTTTCTTAATACTAACTGAGTTCTCAACATTTAAGAAATACATTTGTCCTATTTGCTCGTATAACAGTTTCAAAATATTTACTTCAAAATTACCTTCTTGGCTCTCTTCAGTTGTGACTATTTCTGCTGGTCCTCCATTTTAATTTGCACGTTGGATCCTGGATGTATTCCATGTTGGGAATTAAGTTGAATATACAGGTTGTTTTTGCTTTTGCATCCAGTGCTCAGGATACAAATTTGGAATCTTTGGAATCAAGCCAGAAATAGCACACGTTCATTTCTGAGTCAGCCTATGTTTAAATGTGTTGGATTGAGGTAAATGAAATTGATGAGAAGTTAGGAATGGATCTTCTTTGCATCTACTTTGGATCTACTTTGCAACTGAACCACTGTTTCTCTTTACCACTGGTTTTTGGATAATAGGGGTTGGTTTTAATATGCTTCTCTGCAAAGAGTGAAAAATTTAAATTTGTGAATTTTGAAGTAGCAATTGAAGTTAATAGAGCTTAAAAGATTTACCATGATGGCTATCTCACAGTATCAGTAACTACTGACAACCGTTACATTTGTTATGACCTACGGTAAATTCTTAGATGAAAATACTAGTTTCACTTCTTTCCCAATATTTGTCTGCAGTGATATAATTACAGTATTGGATGTTCCTTTTACAGTTTTTCTGGCAAAGTTCACAATCTGCTACACATTTTTAAAACTGAACTGTATCTGCAAAACAAATAGTCTAGTG